CCACACACCTACACCACCTACACCACCTACACCACCTACACCACCTACACCACCTGCATCATTACCTCACGACAAAACTCACTTCGTTCCAGTTTTTGTCAACCTTTCATCAGCTGACAATTTTTACATTTTATGGTTAATTTGCTCCTCGTGAGAAAAAATGTTCCCCTTTCAACTGAGTTCACACATTTTAAAATGAACTTGAGAAACCTTTTGAAGAGAAAATGAAGTATGAGGAGGAGGAGCGAGGCAGACTCTAATTAAGGCGCGTCGCCCAGGTAAAACACGGCCAGGTTTCTTAGACAGACAGACAGGTAGACATGGTAAACAACACCTTCCTCGCACTTCTTATCTCACAGCTTGGTCACGATGGCTTCTCCTTCCCCCCTCCCCCCCCCCCTCGTGGGCCTTCTCACCCCCTCCCTCCCTCCCAGCCTCCCCCGCACCTCATCTCCCACACAACACATGGAATTCTAACTGTAGACCTTTCCTCTCTCTCTCTCTTCTAGGTAATATTTACCTAGATGAGAGAGTAAACACACACACACACACACACACACACACACACACACACACACACACACACCTCGTAGGGGGCCTCGTAGCCTGGTGGATAGCGCGCAGGATTCGTAATTCTGTGGCGCGGGTTCGATTCCCGCACGAGGCAGAAACAAATGGGCAAAGTTTCTTTCATCCTGAATGCCCCTGTTACCTAGCAGTAAATAGGTACCTGGGAGTTAGTCAGCTGTCACGGGCTGCTTCCTGGGGGGGGGGTGTAGAAAAAAAAATAGTAGTAAAACAGTTGATTGACAGTTGAGAGGCGGGCCGAAAGAGCTAAGCTCAACCCCCGCAAACACAACTAGGTGAACACAACTAGGTGAACACACACACACATGTGAGAACTAACCGCTGCTTCTCCTCCTCCCAACAGTCATACATGGAGGATCACCTCAAGAATAAAGACCGTCTGGAGCAGGAGTGGATCGCCCTCTGTGCCTACGAGGCGGAGCCCTGTGCCACCACCCTCGCCCTCAAGGTAAGAGGGAGGGGTGTTAAGGGGAGGGTGAGGGAGGTAGGGAGGGAGGGGTGTTAAGGGTGAGAGAGGGAAGTAAGGAGGAAATAATTACAATTGTAAAACACTATTCATCACATTAATCATCACTGTTCATCACTTGCTCGAGGATAATGTCTCTTCCACTTGGAGTTCAACATTGTCAAGTGTTTATGTTGCAAGAGATAGATGATAACTACCACCTTAAACCCTTCATCTTTCCTCTCTACATTGTCTCTCTCTTGTTATACCACACAGCTCTTCTGTCTTGGTTATAATACCACTCAGAGGTTTTGTGTTGGTTATAATACCACTCAGCTGTCATGTGTTGGTTATAATATCACTCAGCTGTCATGTGTTGGTTATAATATCACTCAGCTGTCATGTGTTGGTTATAATATCACTCAGCTGTCATGTGTTGGTTATAATATCACTCAGTTGTCATGTGTTGGTTATACCACTCTGCTGTTGCCTGTTATGCTTAACACTCAGGAATTTAACGTTAGTCATATCAACAGTCATCTGTTAGTGTTGGTTATGCCACACAAGTGCTAGATGTTGGCTATACCAAACATAAAAACACAGCAAATCACGTTAGCAATTTTCTGTTCTCTCAGTAAAGCCATCACGCCGGTTGGCAGCTGTGGCCAACCTCAACAGCCTAGAGTCCAGCTTGTTAAGTCAGTCCACCTGGCCTTGTTCTCTACCCTAACACTGTTCTCTCCCCGTCCCACAGCCGGAGAACAATCTGAAGAACAGGTACCCGGACGCCGTGCCCTACGACCATAATAGGGTCGTTCTCACCGCGCACGCCAACCTCAACGGCTCCGACTACATTAATGCCTCTTCCATCGTGAGTTGCTATGTGGGTTCACCTCCTGGACCCTGTATCTCCCGCTTTAATGTTTTCCACTACCTCTCACAGGGTGGGTATGGGGTCCACTACCTCTCACAGGGTGGGTATGGGGTCCACTACCTCTCACAGGGTGGGTATGGGGTCCACTACCACTCACAGGGTGGGTATGGGGTCCACTACCTCTCACAGGGTGGGTATGGGGTCCACTACCACTCACAGGGTGGGTATGGGGTCCACTACCTCTCACAGGGTGGGTATGGGGTCCACTACCACTCACAGGGTGGGTATGGGGTCCACTACCACTCACAGGGTGGGTATGGGGTCCACTACCACTCACAGGGTGGGTATGGGGTCCACTACCACTCACAGGGTGGGTATGGGGTCCACTACCACTCACAGGGTGGGTATGGGGTCCACTACCACTCACAGGGTGGGTATGGGGTCCACTACCACTCACAGGGTGGGTATGGGATCCACTACCAATCACAGGGTGGGTATGGGGTCCACTACCACTCACAGGGTGGGTATGGGGTCCACTACCACTCACAGGGTGGGTATGGGGTCCACTACCACTCGGCAGTGACTACAAGCACCACAACTTACTTTACAAGTGACAGTTAACTTACAGCAGCCATAATTATAGTCCAATACAAACTGATAGGCAGTACAAAGCGTGATATCAAATATACCGGGTCTCCCCCGGATAATTAATCCTAAACTAATCTAACACAGTCTACCAGAATGATAATCACCACACAGCAACTTGACGAAGGCTTACTGTAAGTGTAGTACACATTATTGAACACAACAGACCTCACCACCAGCATAGGACCTGGGGAGACCTAAGGCATTCCTGTACAGCAGTCTCTCTCTCTCTCCTAGCCTGTCACCTTCCCCTCAGCTGCCAATACTCTCCTCTGTGTTTCAGATTTTAAATTATATTATCTTCTGTCGTGTAGTTCATGGGACTTTCCAATTCTTTTCACTATAATTATACAAATTAGCTTTATTTTCAAGTATTATATGTTCCTTAGGGTGTTTTATTGCGATATTAGGGTGTGATTTTCATATTTTTCAAAGATTGACTGTTTCAAGGTGTTCGTCTCTAGGAGGCAACATTTAATTTAGCGTTCTGGACTGTGTATACATAATTTTGTATACATAAATGTTTGTACACTGTATTGCATATAAAGGTTTATACATTTGTGTACACCTATTCCTTACACCACCACCACTATAAACACTTCACCATCACCACCATCACAAACCTCACCACCCCCATCACAAATACTTTACGACCACCACCACACCACCACCACACCACCACCACACCACCACCACACCACACCACACCACACCACCACCACACCACCACACCACCACACCACCACACCACCACCACACCACCACACCACCACCACACCACCACCACACCACTACCACACCACCACCACACACCACCACCACACCACCACCACCACCACACCACACCACCACCACACCACACCACCACACCACCACCACACCACCACACCACAACCACACCACCACCACACCACCACCACACCACCACCACACCACCACCACACCACCACACCACCACACCACCACCACACCACCACCACCACCACACCACTACCACACCACCACCACCGCACCACACCACCACACCACACCACCACACTACCACACACCATACCACCACCAACACTCCCAGGGGCGGCAGTAACCCCCGTGCCTCTCACCGTGACACAGACGGACCACGACCCCCGTAACCCGGCCTACATAGCGACACAAGGACCCCTGGAGAGCACCGCGGCGGACTTCTGGCAGCTGGTGTGGGAGCAGGGCAGCGTGGTCATCGTCATGCTCACCCGCCTCACCGAGAATGGCCACGCCTTCTGCCACCGCTACTGGCCAGAGGAAGGCAGCGACCTCTACCACATCTACGAGGTCAGTACCGCGCGGTCTCCTCCCTTCAAGAGCAACCACTCGGCGCCATCTTGCACAATTAATCAACCAATGTTTGTCTTACTTACTTGTTATGTTTGGGAGCGGGTTAGGAGGCAACCACGGGAACTTATCCTCGTTAAAAGCCCTTATATAATATGTTTCATTTCATGACGTGAATTTTGGGATTATAAAGACATGCAGCCGCTCAGTCATTGTTAATTCTGCTTCTTCGGTCACGTGATTCATTTTGTAATGTTTTGAACAGTTTATAAGATCTTAATTTGCTTCATGTTTTAGAAGATAAGTGACATGTCTGACTCTCCAACATTGTTTACACTTATGGTCTCTAATTGTACAATTTTTCATTCACTCGGATCAACGGAGACTAACATTACGAGGGCCGCTGCTTTTGTAATTTTTGAAACCCGGGTTCGAATCTCAGATGATCCGAATGCATGAAATGTTATCACTGGTTGTGCAGTGTGTCATTATGGTACTGTGCAGTGTGTCATTATGGTACTGTGCAGTGTGTCATTATGGTACTGTGCAGTGTGTCATTATGGTACTGTGCAGTGTGTCATTATGGTACTGTGCAGTGTGTCATTATGGTACTGTGCAGTGTGTCATTATGGTACTGTGCAGTGTGTCATTATGGTTCTGTGCAGTGTGTCATTATGGTACTGTGCAGTGTGTCATTATGGTACTGTGCAGTGTGTCATTATGGTACTGTGCAGTGTGTCATTATGGTACTGTGCAGTGTGTCATTATGGTACTGTGCAGTGTGTCATTATGGTACTGTGCAGTGTGTCATTATGGTACTGTAGCCAGTATAGCTAACACCTCCCGCCCTCCCTGGCCCTACACAGGTACACCTGGTGTCCGAACACATATGGTGTGACGATTACCTGGTGCGGTCCTTCTACCTGAAGAACGTGCGGACGGGGGAGACGCGCACCGTCACGCAGTTCCACTTCCTGTCGTGGCCCGACTCCGGCACCCCGGCCTCCACCAAGGCTCTCCTCGAGTTCAGAAGGTGAGAGTTCCTCTTACACTCGCGCCACACCACACATACTCACCAGGCGTGTCCTCAGGTGTTAACTGGAGACGTGTCTTCAGGTGTTAACTAGAGACGTGTCCTCAGGTGTTAACTAGAGACGTGTCCTCAGGTGTTAACTAGAGACGTGTCCTCAGGTGTTAACTAGAGACGTGTCCTCAGGTGTTAACTGGAGACGTGTCCTCAGGTGTTAACTGGGAGACGTGTCCTCAGGTGTTAACTGGGAGACATGTCCTCAGGTGTTAACTGGGAGACGTGTCCTCAGGTGTTAACTGGAGACGTGTCCTCAGGTGTTAACTAGAGACGTGTCCTCAGGTGTTAACTAGAGACGTGTCCTCAGGTGTTAACTAGAGACGTGTCCTCATATGATAACTAGAGACGTGTCCTCATATGATAACTAGAGACGTGTCCTCATATGATAACTAGAGACGTGTCCCCAGGTGTTAGGGACGTGTCCCCAGGTGTTAGGGACGTGTCCTCAGGTGTTTTTTCAATTCCCTCAAAAGTGAGAGAATAGGTATCATCATATGAGACATTAATGATTATTTTTACATTACGCAGTAATTGGCACACACTGCTCACAAGTGAGGTCACCAGGGTTCGAGCCCCGGGCAGAGCGGAAGGACTGGGCACTGTTCGCCCCTGTACACCCAGCAGTAATGGCAGTTGTACTTGTAAAAACAATTAACGGATTATGTTGCTTAGAAAACATGAATCTAAATGACCTAACCAGCTCCAGTATCTGCTTTAGGCCTAAATTGTAACATATATATTTTTGTAATGTAAAATGATCTCCCCTGTGAGGGGCACTGATGGTCTCGACACAGATAGGATGGGCACGAGTAGTTAGTAGTGACTGAAGACTCCTAGGTTAGAAGGGCACTGTTGCGCAATGGTCTCCACAGGAGACTAACAACCAAATGGTCCCAGGCTCGATTCCCGGGCAGGAAGAGATGTTTGCGCACGTTTCCTTACGTCTGTTGCACCTGTTCACCTAGAAGTAAATAAGTAGTAGGGAGTTAAGCAACTGGTGTGGGTTGCATGGTGGGGAAGACGAGAGGGTCCTGGACAAACCCAGACAATGAGGAAGCAACAGGAGGAGGAGCGCCGCCCCCCCGCCGGCCCAGGTGTCCGTCTCCAGGTGTGGCAGCCTCCTCCACCACACTCTCCCGCCGCCCGCTTATCATTTTTGTGATTTTTGCAATTATGTGTTGTAAGGAATTGCATAGTCACAAAAGTGATGGGCGAGCCCGGGCACTACTCCCTACCGTCAACACCTGCTGCCACCACCTCCACCAGGGCTCCGTCACCACCTCCACCAGGGCTCCGTCACCACCTAACACCAGGGCTCCGTCACCACCTAACACCAGGGCTCCGTCACCACCTAACACCAGGATCTGCGGGTTGGTACAAGAATTCAACCAACTACAAACCACTTATTGTGATGAAAGGGAGCAGTAGAACAACAGAAGTACACTTACATCACATCAAGCTTGGATACCCATGTGCATGGGAAATAGGCTTACAGGTTCCGGAAGATGAGAGGAAATGTCAGCACTGTGGAGAAATGCCCGACAGACCACTGGAACATTATCTAACACAATGCACAGTTACAAACCCAATAAGATTTCAATTTAGATTCAACAGAGCAGATGTTGATGTTAAGCACATGGGACAAACTCTTACTGAAGCGACCATACCTGTCATCAATGCTCATACTCCGCCTAAGTAAAATAGAAACAAGTAACATTGAGTTGGCCAGCCAGAGGCTTAGGGCCCGCGCAGGAATATCCCTACAATATCACTATCAGGAGAGCGATACCATCCACCATCAACACCATCCACCATCACCATCAGGTTCGTCAACATAAAGTCGGTGGAGAGGAAATGGTGGCCACCAAGAACATATAATTTCATAATCTGTTCATAATATTCTGAATTCAGATATTGAGGTGGGAAGTGCGTGTTGTGGCGGCGGGGCTACATCCTGGGGCTCCCAACCAGCGCCCCGTCTAGTAATTAGATAAAACAATAAGAAATGTGTACTTTCTAAGAATTAAATCAAAGGTACAAAAATGCATCATAGTGATATAAAGAATGGTAAGTCCTATTTTGACACATGTGTATGTAGATTTGTTTCATATTCTGCAAGGAAAAACAACAGATGGAAATGCAGAAGCCACTGCCATATTGCTCAGTTATTCCAAACAAAAATAATTTACTTCTTAGGAGCATTTATTGTGAACTGTTAATATTTTATGGTTATACTGAATGAGACATATGTATTCAATTAATTATTTACGAGCTCTTAAAGGTTAGCGATAGGTGTGAAATTGTAATGTTTGGAGACACTGTGCATCTTGAGGTCACTAAAGCTTTCTCAACTATAAAGATGTACTCAGTGTTATACTTTAGTGGTTAATGAATTACACAACAGTATTTAGGGAGATAAAGATTTTAGATATATTGGTGTAGAGCAACAGAGGCTGTTGTAGTCTGTATTTGTGTATGCCATATACTGACAGTGTATGTGATAACTACAGCAGCCTTTGCCATACTCGTGCTGTGTGCCAGACACGACCTCCTACACGATTACGGGATAAAAATAATCCCATTCTGTAGGAAAATCTTATAAAAACTATCATTTGTATGAATTTGTGGTGTACATCTTTCTGTCCAATCTCCTAAAGCCTCTCTCTCTGTCATCTGACAAAATCTACTCGTTGTCCTTGTCTCCATGTATACATGTGACGACATAATACATAATACAATAGTGTATACCAGACATGTTTTATCTCATCCCATTTACAGTCACGTCCGTGTAAACATGGATACCAACTGAACATATATAAGTGTCTGTAAGGAAACAATATTTAAATTGGCAATAACTTCGTTGTGGTAGAGGAAAGTGAATAATAAATTTGACTTCGTTGTGGTAGAGGAGGATGAATAATAACTTTGACTTCCTTGTGGTAGAGGAGGATGAATAATAACTTTGACTTCGTTGTGGTAGAGGAGGATGAATAATAACTTTGACTTCGTTGTGTTACAGGAAAGTGAATAAGTCGTATCGAGGTCGGTCCTGCCCAATCATCGTCCACTGCAGGTGCGTGTCTTCTATGCTTATCTCTTATCTAACTGCTTAACTACCTGACCGGTTCACTGACTAGTTGGCTAAAGGTAAGGTAAGGTAATTATTAGGAGAAAGCACAAACCCATTACGACTATAGCACTTGGAAGGGATGAGGAAAAGGATTTAGGATAGCACAGAGGGAAAGGAATGGTACCCAACCACTTGGATGGTCGGGGATTGAACGCCGACCTGCAAGAAGGGACACCGTCGCTCTACCGTCCAGTTGGGTCGCTGGCTAGTTGATTCAATGACCAGTTGGTCTCTTAGTTTATTGATCTGTTTACTAGTTTCATATAATCAATCACTGGTGATGCTGCAGCTTCCAACTACGTTTAGATGTAGTTAAAAGGTAAGTCCTTATTAGGACTAAAACTTAGGAAAGTTTGCAGGTGTGTTTAAAGTTGACGAGAACCTCCACTATTGTTATGATCAAGTTGGGCTTGGCTCTAACACAGGCGATACTAGCACTAAAGCTTTGTGCTATTATGACACACATTCATTACTCCCTGACAAAGATGTTATGGAAGAATTGATAGAAAGTGAAAGATATAGAGTTGAATACAACCTGACGTTCACAGCTGACAAATGTGCTGCAGTTGAACTCACTCAACTCCTATTATCCAGATGTTGAAGTAACCCGCTAGAGAGGAAGACACGAGTGAACGATCCATAACAATATCTGGGTAATTAATTAACTAAATAATATCTGCGTAAGGAGTCAATATCTTACCTTTAAAGGGTTCGCTTGTTAGCTCTTGAGGCAATCACAGACCCGAAGGGCAGAACAAATGTCATTATAAGTGAACTTGATCATCCTGACACCTACTGGAAAGAACAGTTAAGAGTCAGTGTTTCAGTTTGTGTGGTTGTGAACTGTGGGACCTGTGAAATGGTTACCTTGGTAAGGGAACTATCAGGAGAAAGTGCCAAGCCATTACAACTATATAGCCATTCTCTGAAGTGTTGGTCTTCACACTCACTGTGACTGTCTGCCTGGCCTGAAGTGTTGGTCCTCACACTCACTGTGACTGTCTGCCTGACCTGAAGTGTTGGTCCTCACACTCACTGTGACTGTCTGCCTGGCCTGAAGTGTTGGTCTTCACACTCACTGTGACTGTCTGCCTGGCCTGAAGTGTTGGTCCTCACACTCACAGGCCTGAAGTGTGACTGTCTGCCTGGCCTGAAGTGTTGGTCTTCACACTCACTGTGACTGTCTGCCTGGCCTGAAGTGTTGGTCCTCACACTCACTGTGACTGTCTGCCTGGCCTGAAGTGTTGGTCCTCACACTCACTGTGACTGTCTGCCTGGCCTGAAGTGTTGGTCCTCACACTGTGACTGTCTGCCTGGCCTGAAGTGTTGGTCTTCACACTCACTGTGACTGTCTGCCTGGCCTGAATATTAATGTTGTTACGTGACTGTGACTGTCTGCCTGGCCTGAAGTCCTCACACTGTGACTGTCTGCCTGGCCTGAATGAGTGCCACTCACGCTCCGCCCATCATGAGTGCCACTCACGCTCCGCCCATCATGAGTGCCACTCACGCTCCGCCCATCATGAGTGCCACTCACGCTCCGCCCATCATGAGTGCCACTAACGCTCCGCCCATCATGAGTGCCACTCACGCTCCGACCATCATGAGTGCCACTCACGCTCCGACCATCATGAGTGCCACTCACGCTCCGACCATCATGAGTGCCACTCACGCTCCGACCATCATGAGTGCCACTCACGCTCCGACCATCATGAGTGCCACTCACGCTCCGACCATCATGAGTGCCACTCACGCTCCGACCATCATGAGTGCCACTAACGCTCCGACCATCATGAGTGCCACTCACGCTCCGACCATCATGAGTGCCACTCACGCTCCGACCATCATGAGTGCCACTCAGTTCCGACCATCATGAGTGCCACTCACGCTCCGACCATCATGAGTGCCACTCACACTGCTCCGTCTTCCATCATGAGTGCCACTCACGCTCCGACCATCATGAGTGCCACTCACGCTCCGACCATCATGAGTGCCACTCACGCTCCGACCATCATGAGTGCCACTCACGCTCCGACCATCATGAGTGCCACTCACGCTCCGACCATCATGAGTGCCACTCACGCTCCGACCATCATGAGTGCCACTCACGCTCCGACCATCATGAGTGCCACTCACGCTCCGACCATCATGAGTGCCACTCACGCTCCGACCATCATGAGTGCCACTCACGCTCCGACGCTGTATCTCCTCATCATCATGTAAAACATTTAAATAATTTCCAGTTAATAATATTTATACATAATATATCATATACAATGTTTCTATACAGTTGTATTTTAATGTATATGTGTGTCACTATGTATGAACCTACATGGCGCGCTCCACGCTACATGTAGGTATTATTAATATAAAATGCCTCTAGAATTGTGAACACAATTTACCCAGTGCTACACAAGTCAGCTGCACCATTCGCTGAAATAATGAAATATCTTCATAGCGGTAACAACGACACGATTTGCGTCGAAAAAACTACGATAAAATCCATTGAAATATACGTAGTGTAGTGTTGGATACGCGAGTGACAGCTGCAGTTGAGAGGGTCAGCGGCGGCCTGCAACATGAATGTGAGGTAATTGCATGATGGGAGACCCGGACACTGACGCCTGCACCCGTGGTTATAACCCTTCACCCTGGAGGAGGTTGTCTCAGTGTGTCTGAGATAAACACACCGGGCCGTACACGTTCACTTGAAGCCGCTACCTCGGCTGGACGAGTCTGGACACTCGTCCAGCCTGGTTGATACCTGGTTGATGGGGTTCTGGGAGTTCTTCTACTCCCCCAAGCCCGGCCCGAGGCCAGACTTGACTTGTGAGAGTTTGGTCCACCAGGCTGTTGCTTGGAGCGGCCCGCAGGCCCACATACCCACCACAGCCCGGTTGGTCCGGCACTCCTTGGAGGAATAAATCTAGTTTCCTCTTGAAGATGTCCACGGTTGTTCCTGCAATATTTCTGATGCTCGCTGGGAGGACCGATAATTTTGTGTGTTTAGATTCAGCAACTGGAACATGTTGCCATGTAGCACGGTCTATGGTGAGCCCGTAATGCACCCGATAGTGAGGCCCGGGCTCATGACTGTGGTGAACCACACACACACCTGACAAACACACACCACACTCTAATACAGTAAACAAGTACAAAGCAAGTACCGTTTGGTAAGTTGTACTGTAAAACTTGGTTTACAGCTGTGTGGAGCCAACTATGACTGTTGTTCACTCTGCCCAGTCCTCAGGTCTGGAGGATGTGTGTGTGTGTGTTGGTGAGGCCGGGGGGGGGGGATGATACCACATGTTTGTCCGTTGCCGGGTTCCGGTTCGATCTCCCCCCCCCCCCCCCCCCCCTTCGTCTCCCACCTGCCTCTTCCTAGTATTCTCGGCACAAAGAAGTATTCCCTTGGGAAGAGTCTTATTAATAATTTTAGTGTTCTTCAATATCTTGAGATAATAAGCTTATAATTATCCCGCTAGTATTTTTAAGACGTGTATTGAGGAGGAAACAAAAGGTGAGGGTTTAGCGAGCTCGTCGAGTGGGTTGCTGGCCTCCTTAACTCCTCTGTGTAAGCCTCTATCTCATCCCCATATCATTATCGCCTTAAGCACATTGTATATGATCATTATATGATGTCGAGGTTGTTGGCTCCCCCCCCCCCCTCCCCGACCATGATAATATAACAGTGTTGGGTGACATTATCTCCTCGCTGTAACACACTCGTCCTTCTCACCTGTTGTCGTCACCATCACAACCTTGGTAGCTGACTGAACACGGGTTTAGTGTTTGCTGGGCCCGTTCTCTGACTCGTGCTTTCCCACACCCGCCCGCTGGGTGGGTATGGAGAGCGCCGCCGCCCACTGGGTGGGTGTGGAGAGCGCCGCCGCCCACTGGGTGGGTGTGGAGGGCGCCGCCGCTCACTGGGTGGGTGTGGGCGGTGGTACATATAGGAATCGTACAAAGCTAAACAGATTAATTGCTTATACAAAGTGTGGGCTTCATGACCGTCAGCCACAGCCCACAGGAGGGGAATGTGACATAATAAACTCAGTAAACGAGACCAACTGAAACTGTAAACTGCGTTGATGTATATGTTAACATTCCCTGTAACTGATTCATCTATTTTGTAACATGCGTAGATACAGGAATGTTGGAGTTGAGTCCCCTGGCCCCATTATGTGCCTGTGTAACCTCTCCTCCGCCGCCACACGACACCAACGACGCGCATAATAATCCTACATAAAAAAATTGTTGATGTGTGACTGGCCTGAGAGGTCGGGTGGGGGCGCCATCCGAGACCGCCATTACGTCTTCCCCGGCCGCCAAAGCACACTGTGGTCTGGAAAATTGGCCGTAATTAGTGCGGGAGGAGGAGGAGGGTGAGGGTAATAGAGGAGGCTTGGGACGGGAGGCGACCCAGTGATGAGAGCAAGGAGACTGATGAGTAGTAGTGGTGGTGGTGCCTTGTAATCCAGCCCACACGTGTGCCTGGCTCTTGGTGACACCACACTCCTTGTCACCCCCACACCTCTCCCACTCCCACCCCCCCCCCCCACCCCCACAACACCCACCACATCCAGACTCCTTGCATTTTCCCTCTCCCTACCCCCCCCCCCCCCCACACACACACACACACACACGCAGATGACGCAAAATTAATGAGAAGAGTTGTGACAGACGAGGATTGTAGGATCCTCCAAGAGGACTTAAACAAGCTGCAGAGATGGTCAGGGAAATGGCTACTGGAGTTTAACACCAGTAAATGTAAAGTTATGGAAATGGGATCAGGTGACAGGAGACCAAAGGGACAGTACACAATGAAGGGGAACAGCCTACCTGTAACGATTCGAGAAAGAGACCTGGGAGTGGATGTGACACCTAATCTAACTCCTGAGGCACATATAAATAGGATAACGACAGCAGCGTACTCTACACTGGCGAAAATTAGAACTTCATTCAGAAACCTAAATGAGGAAGCTTTTAGGGCACTTTACACTGCCTACGTGAGACCCGTCTTAGAGTATGCCGCGCCATCATGGAGCCCCCACCTGAAGAAACACATAAAGAAACTGGAGAAGGTTCAGAGGTTTGCGACGAGGCTTGTCCCAGAGTTACGAGGGATGGGATATGAAGAGCGGCTGAAGGAACTGAACCTAACGACACTAGAGAAAAGAAGGGAGAGAGGAGATATGATAGGGACATATAAAATACTCAGGGGAATTGATAAAGTGGAAATAGATGAAATGTTCACACGTAATAATAACAGAACGAGGGGACATGGGTGGAAACTGGAAACTCAGATGAGTCACAGAGATGTTAGGAAGTTTTCTTTTAGCGTGAGAGTAGTAGAAAAATGGAATGCACTTGGGGAACAGGTTGTGGAAGCAAATACTATTCATACTTTTAAAACTAGGTATGATAGGGAAATGGGACAGGAGTCATTGCTGTAAACAACCGATAGCTAGAAAGGCGGGATCCAAGAGTCAATGCTCGATCCTGCAAGCACATATAGGTGAGTACATATAGGTGAGTACACACACACACACACACACATAGTATGCAGCATGCAGCTCCAGCCTGGAGTCCATATCTAGTTAAACACAAGACAAAGTTAGAGAAGATTCTAACTTTCTCATTGCTGTCTTAAGATTCTCAGTGCTGTCTGGTATGCCACCAGACTAGTCCCTGAACTGAGAGGGATGAGCTACGAGGAAAGGCTAAGGGAGCTTAACTTCACATCCCTGGAAAACTGAAGAGTAAAGGAAGATATGATAACTACCTACAAAATTTTCAGGGAAATTGACAGGGTGGACAAACACAAACTCTTCAGCACGGATGGAACACTAACAAGGGGACACAGGTGGAAATTGAGTGCCCAAATGAGGCATAGAGACGCTAGAAAGAATTTTTTCAGTGTCAGAGTAGTAAACAAATGGAATGCATTAGGAAGCTATATGGTGGAGGCTGACTCCATACACAGCTTCAAGTGTAGATATGATAGAGCCCAGTAGGCTCAGGTACCTGTACATTAGTTGATTGACAGTTGAGAGGCGGGACCAAAGAGCCAGAGCTCAACCCCCCGCAAGCACAATTAATTTAAGTGAGTACAATTAGGTAAGTACACAACTAAAACATAAACCCGCACAGCCTTCAGTAATATTTTGCATACACACACACACACACACACACACACACACACACACACACACACACACACACACACACACACACAAAAGCCTCAAACGCTCTTCGCTGGGTCCAGGTGAAGGAAATCTTATTACCCACGTTTATTGTGGTTGACAATAATATATATATATATATATATATATATATATATATATATATATATATATATATATATATATATATATATATATATATATATATGTAATATATATAAGTGGGGCGTGGATCACCTAATTCCTCCATGCTTGAGTGGCAGCCCAAAGGAGGCTTAAATTTCCAGTTGGATAGCAGTTAGGTGCTTCTGAAATCCTTCCTCATTGTGGCTGTTGAGTAGCGTGGTTGATAGAGCTACACCACCACCACCACCACCACCACCACTACTACCACCACCACCACCACCACCACCACCATCGGCGTCTACATCAACACATTTACCTTAAAACGTTTATGTTAAGACATCGGGATTTCTACATCCAGAAATACATCACTACTACTGCTACCACCACCATCATAACCACCATCACCATCATAACCACTATCACCCAACACCCCCACCACACAACATCTGTATAGCTCACATTCCGTTGCCAAGGGCATGATTGCTATAGTGATTCAGTCATGTTTGTGATGCTGTCTGGTTGTCATGACAACCAAGAGAAAACGGTGGTATCAACACAGCATTGGAAGTCCTCACAGTCTTTCCTCTTTATTTATTTGATGTATTCTTTATTTTATCTGTACTCGTGCAGACATTTTTATATATATATATATATATATATATATATATATATATATATATATATATATATATATAATATGGAGGTGGGTGTTGACATGGTGATTGGAGGGCGCTGACTGACTTAGGTAACAGTAACAACAGGGAAGTGAGGTGTAGCTCTGTATACTCACTATTATTTTCTTGTAACATTTGTATTATATGTTACCTGTCCAGACGATGGAAATGTTCGTGGACTCTGGCCTTAACGCTGCGTTCTGTTGGCGAGTATTTGTATTCGTAGTACGTGGGTGAAGTATTTACAGCGTTGTGGTTTGAACAAAAGTCGTCAGCGAAGCACTTGTTCCGGAAGTGTTCGGACGTCTTCAGTTGCGAGTCGTGTGTAAACCGTTTTTCATTCATAAACAGGGGGTTTGGCGGCTGGATTAATGAGCTTGGGATCTTTGTGTGTGAGGACGGGCTTAACTGTGATGTTTAAACTTTTCTCGTACAGTGCTTTGCATTTGTCATGTGATCGAATCGCACTTCTGTAAACGCCAGTCCGTCCTCATAAACAAAGGCCAAATTCAATTATTCCAGTCTATTCAAAGGCCAGTCTATTCCATTCACCCGCCAAACCCCCTGTTTATAAATGAAAAACGGACAACCCATCCTCGACTCAAGTCCATTACATTCAGCGGTCAACCCCACAGACGCATTCATAAATTTTAATATGCTGTTCATTCAAAACGGGAATTTTCTCAAGTATAAATTAATATTATAATATATTAACATAATGTGCATATATAGGCATAGGATAGGTTAGGTTAGGTGTTTAGGTTCTGTTGGCGATTATTTGTATTTGTAGTACGTGGGTGAAGCATTTATAGCGTTGTGATTCGAACAAAATTCGTCAGTGAAGCACTTGTTCCGGATATGTTCGAGCGTCAGCAGTTGTGAGTCGTGTGTAAACCGCTTTTCATTGATAAACAGGGGGTTTGGCGGGTGCATGGAATCACTTTTGGATCTTTGTTTGGAGGACGGGCTGAAAACGGATTACACATGGCTCACAACTGATGTCCGAACACGTCCGAACAAATGCTCCACTGACGACTTTCGTTCGAACCACAACGTTGTAAATGCTTCATCCACGTACTACAAATATAAATAATCGCCAACAGAACCTAAACACCTAACCTAACAAATGCCTAAATATGCACAATATGCTAATATATGATAATGCTAATTTATATTTGAGAAAGTTCTGTTTTGAATGAACAGCATGTTAAAATTGATGAATGCGTCGTTGGAGTCGACCGCTGAATAGAATGGACTTGGTCCGAGGACGGGTTGCTGAAAATACTTCATTCATATACGGCACATGCCAATAATGACCAAGTTTAGTTGTAGTTCACTAAACATGCTCTAATTACACCTTGGTCACAGTTCATCACATCGTCCTCCTGCTCCTCTCCCCCCCCCCATGTCCTACCCCCACCCCCCCTCCTCACACGTGTTCCGTACCGCCTCGGTCACTTGAAGCCGTAAACACCTTCCAGGTTTTCATACAAAGTATAAACTTAAGTGAAAGTGAGAGCAAAGATGCGCGGCAAGAAGGATTGGGGCATTTTAATTTCCCTCCGAAAACAGCTGACAATGCAGCCGGGAATTACATCGTGTTGAAAGGCGGCTGAAATAATCACGTTTTTTTATAGATTAAATTAAAAGACGTCAAGCAGGGAAATTATTGGGTCGAGGGCTGGAGGTGAGAGAGATGTGGCGAGGGTAACAAAAAATATGATGGAACAATAGCACTGTTGGATCAATGGGAGCGGGTGGATGGTAGCGCTGGAGGGCCGGTGACGCCACCTGCTCCTGCCTCGCTCGCCGCCCCTACACCACCACACCGCTGCCCTCCACTCTACCACTCTCGTCATCAACCAACTTGCAGGTTGATGCTGGTGGCGTTGACTGACATGTTGCTACTGCAGAGTTCGCCACCACTACTACCAACAACAATTACCATCTCCACAATCATTTACCGTCACCACCACCCACCACTACCACCCACCACTACCTCTCCAATCACAAAAACCTTATATCATTCACCATCAACACCACCATCAGGTACTGACGAAGGTAACAACGGCGGAACGTTCTTCAGTAATAGAAGGAAACCAGTCCTTTCATTCCTGTAAGCACGACTCAAGACCTATGAGACGGATTCCTTCCAAGGAATTCTTTCATTACTGAAAGTCTTAACTCCTGCATGACATTTATGATTTACAAGAAATGAAAAGTCATAAAGCCCTAAACAAAAATATTATCTTAAGTTAGTGACTGTTGCGAACACAGGGACGGATGCGGAACTCGCTTTCCATGTTGGAATCACTGTCTGTTTACCACAGTGACGCCGCAGCGCTCTACTGCCCTTCAGAGATCGAGACACAGGATGATATGTGATGTGCATGTATCTTAAGGCCTATACTACATGTCTCTTGTGTCCCCATTATCAACACTAGCTTTGCTTTCTCTCTACAGTGACGGCATCGGTCGCACGGGCACCTACTGCCTCATCGACATGGTGCTTAACCGCATGGCGAAGGGCGCCAAAGAGATCGACATCGCTGCCACACTCGAACACATCCGCGATCAGCGCCCCCACATGGTGAAGAGCAAGGCGCAGTTCGAGTTCGTATTGATGGCCGTGGCGGAGGAGGTGCATGCCATCTTGAAGGCCCTCCCTCAGTAGCCTGCCTTCTGACGACGACCCGGCGAGACTTAGGCCTGCAGGAGGAACGCGCAGACACCCACTTACAAGTTTCTGTCGACGTTTCCTCCACCAAAAGAACTCCTTCTTCACACACCGCGCGGCTTTCCTCCCCAGCAGGAGCTGTGAGGCTCTTGAAGGGCGGTGGCCGGCGGACGTTGTCCCTCTGCTACTGTGTCGCCTTGGTCACCACTCGGCGGCTTGTAACCTGTTGTCGCTTTACTTTCATCTCCCCTTTCGTACAGGACACAAAATTATCCACAAGCTTGGTTCTTAGGACTACGGATGGCTTACATTGGACGTATATAATACCCACAGGTATCAAGAGGATAATTATATAATGATATATATTTTCTTTCATTGTTTCCAGATAAAGTATATAGGGATATATAAATAAATATATATATATAAGTTGTGTATAAGTGGTAATAATAAGAGTGTAACGTTATGTATCACGCAGACGTCCACCAAGTCACACTCAGTTACACAAACTTTATAACAACTGGGGGTGCACTCTATTATAAAACGTAAATGGTGTCTAATATATATAATAACTTGAGAGAATCAGTCTGGAGAAACAATTTCTTTCCTAACCAGGAAGAGACAGCAGTTGCGGACATCAATAAAAAGTTTTTGTAACTGAGTAAAATAAATGTCATCCAAACCTCTACTGTCCGCTTTATTTTCTCTACAAAAGTTGTCTCCAAAAGTAATAAAAACTCGAAAACATTAAAGAATCACAAAAAAAGACATCAGTCACCACTTCATTGGCTCCGCGATGTCCAATCCCCGAGCCTCTTGGATGGTACTGCCCTCCTCCTCCTCCAATCAGGAGCCTTCTTGGACCCAGCCTCCCAAGAAGGCTTCTATCAGCTAATCAAGTTCCTCGGCTGATGACTCCCGCAGCCAATGAGCGTAGATGTTGCTTCCTGTGTGTGTCTAACGTAGATCAAATGGATAGTCTAGCATTAGGTTTAAGGTACATTTATTCAGAACTATCAGATGCCCATAGCAAGCTGTGGAACTGGGAATACTTTCAACAACATGGGCGACACCCACACGAAATTCTAACACATGAGGAACGGTGGGAACAGAGTGCAAAAATAATATTTTAAATTATGATACTCCCCTCCCCCCCCACCCCCGCCTCCCCCACGACAAGATGTTCCCCATTCTATTGTCTGCATTTTCGGAAGGGAGTAGAACTCTCAAGGATATTTTACACAAAACTGAGACGTGAGAGTAGGAATATGATGGCGTGTGTAGTCGAGTGCGTCACTGGTCTTGTTACCCCACATTAGTTCAGTGTCGACCATATACATCTGTTTGTATCGTTTACTCTAACAATTATTTTACATTCTTCAACTGTGATTTTAATTATATTTACAGTGCTGTATGTGGATAGACCAGTTATTATTCTTAGTTGGCTTGTTATAATAATGATTATAATTGCCTTGTTATGAATTGCTTTCATTGTATTCATATTTGTATAATCAATTATTTTTATATTTACATTATTACCATTATTGTCAAGAATAATTTCTCGGGTGTACATTTGAGTATAATGTCACTACCTTGGTCCCCTACAATGGTGAGGGTCGTCACCATGCTAGCGTGAGCCTGGCGCTGTGTGGCTCCTCCGACGCCAATAAAGTGATTTGGTGGAAACTTGTCTTTCATTGTCTTCCTTCTTATGTATTTAGTTTATCACCCAAATTTCCATCAACAGTTTAATTCCGAGTATTTTATCTTCGTCAGTGTGTACTGCATGAGCACTCGGCCACCTTCACACCCCACTCACCCCCATAATACACTGGCTGTGGTAATTGTCCACAATAGTGTGTGCAAAACACTATTGCAGGTGTGTAACCAAGCTTATTATCAACTCATTAATCATTAAAACGTATTGTTTGTCACAGCAGCATCAGGAGCTCCTTATTCCCTCCCTCCCAGTTCCTCTCTCTTTCCCGTATGGTTCCTATTACAAATCCATTGTATTTGATCCACTCCAACGTTATATCATAATCCACTTTCCATATCGTTTTCCTAATCTACTCAACTGTCATCTTTTCTCAAAGTGCCCCATGCAACTCCTTCCTTCACTCGTCTACCAACTCTCTCTTCCTCCCTCCAACCTCTGCCCCTCTCCACCCGTACGAGGTCCGTGTATCACTGCAGCACATCACACTCCTCAATTTCCCTCTTCACACTTAACATCAATCATGGCCATAATAAGGTCATATTTAGCCTTCAATATCATCCTTCCTCAACGGATACCCACAAAAGCAAACAGCCTCATTCTCCCTGCCCTTCTTATGTAAGTTTCACAACTACAAGACAACCTTTGCCCTCTAGCTAGTCATGTCTTGGCCACAAAGAGCTGTGATCCCTTTTTGATGGTTCTTGAGATCAGCCCTGACTCTTGATCTATATTCTAAACAGACGTGAGCTTTGATTCCTTGTGCAGACCGTGAGCCACTATAACATCGCTGAAGATTAGACACCCAACCCACAAATCTGAAAAATACAGGAAATGACGACGTTTAGGTCCGTCTTGGAACATTATCAAGTTGATTCCTTATAGTACTGTTAATCTATCCAGTTTGTATGTTAACCCATGAGATAGCTGATTATCTACCAGACACAAGTCTTGACCCATGAGAGGGCTGTTGATCCAGTTTGTCAAGTGTTTGTACTATTGAAAAGACTGTTAATCTAGTCATTAGTCTTGCTCCCTGAGAGAGTTACTGTTCTATCCAGTGCCAGTCTTGACCACTTGAGAGGGATCTTGACCTAGCCAGTAAGAGTCTTGACCACTGAAAAAGGATGCTGATTAGACCATTTCGATGCACGTCACTTCCAGCGTTTCCTGATGAAAATTCCACAATTCAGGACCATAGAAAACTACATACATTAAAACTACGTATTGCGGGAGCATATGCAACCTTCTGGCATTTAAATTTTTGAATAAAGGATAAATGCACTAAATTTATGCGCCGCAGCCTAATAAAACAATCATTAAATAAATCGTAAAATAAACACATATCTTCAACTCTAATGCCTTGACATCCAATAAATTTTGTCTCGACGCAAAACTTCCCTCAAGTATCCAAATGTTATTAAACCATGGAAGGGAAATCGACAAATAAATGCCAATTATTATATAATGGTATAAAGATCATATACGCCCATTGGTGTGCCTCGCGACTCGACGTCTTTCTCATAGTAGAAATGAAAGCCACTTCGACACCTACAACGATATCTTCACACGCTACAGTAGTAATGACACGACGCTACAGTAAATATATCACTATACCCTCACACGCTACAGTAAATATATCACGATACCCTCACACGCTACAGACATCTCTAAACCTAGTATCTTTGAACAATAAAAGTTCCAAAACTTCTTTTGCGTTTTAGAAGATCAATTGGGACAGTCTAACAGTTTCGTGTAAATCTTGGACATCACGAGGCTTCAAAAACTCTTGAAAATATGGTTAAGTGATTCACAAGAACAGTAAAGGTGAACAATCTTTTAAAGTAAACGAAGGAAACAAAAACAATTTGCCGGCACACACAAACAAGAGTACGGTGCAAAATTAGATTAGAAATACAGACTGTAAAAAGTAAAGTCATCAAGTTAGCACTTTTTCTTAACTGATACGGAACGAGGCTGTCGTTGAGAATCAGATGAGAAGGATGGCTCTTGGCACTATTTGAGTAAGTTTTGTTGTGATCATGTTGCTTATAATTACCAGCATGGATAATACATGTTGCAGAAGCGTTTATTGTAACAAAGTGCACACACGCTAAGGCTCATGTTTACTGCATCAATACACAAGCTATAATCTATTATTCAATATATATATTTGGAACAAATATAAAGAAATCATATTCTTGAATGTCTAAGTATCGTATTTATACTACAATAAAAGTCTTCATCCTATATCATTTTTAGCGATTTGTTGTGGTTCAATGTAAACATGAATCATATGATATATTTTTGTGTGTCCTCACCTACAAGTGTTTGCAGGACCGAATTTCAGATCCTGGGCCCTGCGATTTAAGTATACTAGCATATCATTTTCCGTGTATGTGGTGTGTGTGTGTGTGAGAGAGAGAGAGAGGAGGATGGGGCGTGAGAGGTTTAAAACTACACACTACATTAAAATTATCATGGAGGATAACATGATGCGAAAACATTATATTTTCTCGAAAAGCAAAGATCGTTGAATACGTGAAAAGATTGTCCATCGCGCTGGAATGAAGAAGACTCCTTCCTCGCTGGTTTTTATTTGTGTAAGAAGATCTCAGCTTACATCTGATGTTGTCGCCGACCTTCCCTCTTTACCCAGACAGAAAAATACTCTCTCAGAAAGCTGTTGCCTGGGTGACTGAAGATGTGAAAGAAATAAAATTGTGGCTTTTATGGTGGTTTCATTTACCCAGAGCCAGGCGGCATGCGGAGCCAGCTGGAGGCTTGAGCTCACCAAGTGATACAGGTAAGAATGACTGCTCTTAATGAATGGCAGTCCGGCAGGTGTGAGAGACTGTGCATTATACCCTGTAATAGCTAACCCCATAATCGAAGTCATACTGTGCTGAACTTGCCCTACATAACAAACAGAGTAGTATGAACAAATCCCCAAGGGCCGTGACGAGGGTTCGAACCTACGTCCGAGAGGATCCCAGACGTTGCCTTAATCGACTGAGTTACGACATGGTAAAAGAATTGCAACCGGGAAATCATCTTGATTTACAAAAGACACAAAACCCTGGTTTGTGTCTCGGAGAGACTGCAGGATCCGTTGGTAAATCAGGATGATTTCCCGGTTGCAATTCTTTTACCATGTCGTAGCTCAGTCGATTAAGGCAACGTCTGGGATCTTCTGGAACGTAGGTTCGAACCCTCGTCACGGCCCTTGTGGATTAGTTCATTTGATGCATCACGCTATTGTGATTTATGTGTATAGACTAGTATGATCAGCGAATAGCTTTTATCTTAATTCAAACGAGTAATTAGTGCGGTCAGGCTCTTAAAGAGCTAGGCTACTGAAAAGACGTTAGTCTAGTCATTTTGTTTAAAATTGTACTTACCAATTATCGCACAAAATGTATTTTTCATGAGTACTGTAATTTTCTAAATCCTCATAAAAGTTATATACATGCAGCAATAACAGTCAGAATGATTAATTGAATTACTTTACTGCCATAAATTACCTACACACATCACTAAGCATATATCCGATCCGTAACAAGCTCAACAATGGCTGATTAAGGCCTGCAGACATTTACATACTGTACAGTTAAATCCACCATGAAGACAGGCAAACCTAACCAGGCGGGAATTGACTTAGTGCGTCTATAACAGCTTATATTAGACATTATCACACTCCTGCCAGACGCAGCAGTGAGCCAGACCTTCAGGAGAGACAGGAATGCATGACAAACCTCAGTACATGCAGCCGAGGGGAGTGAACACTGAATAAGGACTGATAAGAGTCGTTAATGCGCTACAAACGACCTTCTGAGCAATTCTTGACGTTGTCTGATATACAATGTGTGCATTATTAAATTTATCCGTCTTTTATGTTTCGAAAATTTGTATACAAATCCAACTTCTGCAACATAATTTAAATAGCCAATGCTCTGTAATCCAGCCAACAAACATCGTGTTTATAATGATAAACACTGCCCATGATAAAACTAATTAATATATGTTCAATCTTTTCTTGAACAGTGCTTCACTCTGTTGTAACACGAGTTAGGGTTCCTCTCTCTTTACTTCTCTACCTTCTACTCCCTCTACCCGTATTCTTACTTTTATTTCTAAACCAAGGGACTCCAAAACTTTTAACAAAGCCAACTCCACGCCACGTGGTCCTAAGACGATTGACCGACTTAGGATTCTACACCCAGTATGACGTGACCTAAGCTCTGAACAAAACCCTAGAGTCACCTCTGCTGCCACCACCAGACCAGTAATACAAGAGCAATGATCGAGGTCTGGATCGATCACGCTAATTAATCAACCTAGGGGCTTGATCCCCACTATAAACGATGACCTTGAGTGTGGAATAAATTACACGGTAATGATAATTCCGATTCGATGTTAGAATCGGCGCCCAATGCAACTCTGCCTCGTGTGTACCACGTGACCAGGACAAGTATACACATAAAACACATGGAAACAATAAAATGCAAATTAATAACAAATTTAATTTATTAAAAGAAAACTAAAACAAAATCTAAATATGTTCACTCCCTATCACTTTAACACTCCCTACTTGACCTGAGTGGCAAATGAGAAGACTATTTCTATAATTAACAATAGCAACTATACCTTGGGCGACCAGCTAGATGTCTTGGCTGGTCTTGGGGAGAGGTAAGATGTTTGACCTCTCCCAGCTGCTTCCGTGACCACACTGATTTCTTCCTTGTCTGGTCTCCCCCAGACAGAACATTGTATCCTTCCGCCTAGTCAAAGTTCTACCAAGTTACTAGCAAGGTTTAAGTTATAACAATTAACCTCTGTTGTACTTAATTAATCCAAACCGTGACCCGTATTCCAAGAATACTCTTGATATTGTATCCAGTACTATTATACAATACAATTTTAATGCAAAATGAATTACCTCCCTCCACCGCGAATGCTACACCCACCT